CCTCATGTTTACCATATTGGTGTAATTGAAATTTCTCATCGTTGAACTTCATATTGTTTTCTGCAGCCCACTGAAAGATTTGGTTGGTGTCCGCTTGGAGCCTTGCAGTGTCTGCAATGGAAGACACTGTCATGCAGATTCGGGTGTCATCTGCAAAGGAAGACACGGTGCTGTGGCTGACATCTTTGTCTATGTCAGATATGAGGATGAGAAACAAGATGAGCGCGAGTACTGTGCCTTGTGGAACAGAGCTTTTTATCGTAGCCGCCTCAGACTTTACTCTGTTGACGACTACTCTTTGTGTTCTGCTTGTGAGGAAATTATAGATCCATCTACCAACTTTTCCTGTTATTCCTTTAGCACGCATTTTGTGCGCTATTACACCATGGTCACACTTGTCGAAGGCTTTTACAAAGTCTGTATATATTACATCTGCATTCTTTTTGTCTTCTAGTGCATCTAGGACCTAGCCGTAGTGATCCAGTAGTTGAGACAGGAGCGACCTGCTCTAAACCCATGTTGCTCTGGGCTGTATAATTGATGGGTATCTAGATGGGTGGCAATCTTGCTTCTTAGGACCCTTTCAAAGATTTTTATGATATGGGATGTTAGTGCTATCGGTCTGTAGTTCTATGCTATTGCTTTACTGCCCCCTTCGTGGAGTGGGGCTATGTCTGTTTTTTTTAGTAACTGTGGGACGACCCCCGTGTCCATGCTCCCTCTCCCTAACATAATTGTAGATGCGTGGAACAGTCTTCCCAGTGGGGTGATAGAGGCTAGGACCTTGGGTAGCTTTAAGAAGAGATTGGAAAAATATATTAGTGGGAGGGGCTGGGTTTGATTGGTGTGATTGAGAATGGGAGTTATTTCTTGGGTAGCTTTAGGGAGAGGTTGTTTTGATAAGGACCTGCCTCGCATGGGCCAGTAGGCCTTCTGCAGTGTTCCTCCATTCTTATGTTCTTATAGGATGGTATAAGCTCGTGATAGGGGCTTCTTGCAGTTCTTGATGAACACGGAGTTCCATGAGTCTGGCCCTGGGGCCCTGGTTGTTACTAGGTCACTCTCCCTGAGCCGTGAGCTTTATCATACCTCTGCTTAAAGCTATGTATGGATCCTGCCTCCACTATATCGCTTCCCAAACTATTCCACTTCCTGACTACTCTGTGGCTGAAGAAATACTTCCTAACATCCCTGTGATTCATCTGTGTCTTCAACTTCCAACTGTGTCCTCTTGTTGCTGTGTCCCATCTCTGGAACATCCTGTCTTTGTCCACCTTGTCAGTTCCTCTCTGTATTTTGTATGTCATTATCATGTCCCCCCTAATCTCTCCTGTCCTCCAGTGTCATCAGGTAGATTTCCCTTAACCTCTCCACATAGGGTGTACCCCTTAGTTCTGGGACTAGTCTTGTTGCAAGCCTTTGCAGTTTCTCTAGTTTCTTTACGTGCTTGGCTAGGTGTGGGTTCCAAACTGGTGCCGCATACTCCAATATGGGCCTAATGTACACGGTGTACAGGGTCCTGAACGATTCCTTATTAAGATGTCAGAATGCTGTTCTGAGATTTGCTAGGTGCCCATATGCTGCAGCAGTTATTTGGTTGATGTGCACTTCAGGAGATGTGCCTGGTGCTATACTCACCCCAAGATCTTTTTCCTTGAGTGAGGTTTGTAGTCTGTGTGTGGGTGTGAGTGTGGGTGTGGGTGTGGGTGTGGGTGTGGATGTAGTGTGGGTGTGGTGTGGTGTGGTGTGGTGTGGTGTGTGGTTGTGTGTGTGTGTGTGTGTGGTGTGGGTTGGTGAGTGGTGTGGGTTGGTGGGTGGTGTGGGTGTGGGTGGGGTGGGTGGGTGTATGGTGTTGGTGTGGGTGGGTGGGTGGGTGGGGTGGGTGGGTATGGTGTGGGTGTGTGTGGGGGTGTATGGGGGGTGGTGGTGTGGGTGTGTATGGGGGGTGTTTGGTGTGGGTGGGTGGGTGGTGTGTGTGTGTGTGTGAGCGGGAGGTGTGGGTGGTGTGAGAGAGAGAGAGAGAGAGAGAGTGAGAGATAGTGTGTGTTATTTGGTGAAGGATGCTTGTGGTAGGTGTAAGTGTGTTAAGTATGATGCCATAACTCTAGGATTTTATGGATGGTGTAAGTGTGTTAAGTAATGAGTGCCATAACTCTAGGATGTTTATGGATGGTGTAAGTGTGTTAAGTATGAGTATGATAACTAGGATGTTTATGGATGGTGTAAGTGTGTTAAGTATGAGTGTCATAACTCTAGGATGTTTATGGATGGTGTAAGTGTGTTAAGTATGAGTATGATAACTCTAGGATGTTTATGGATGGTCTAAGTGTGTTAAGTATGAGTGTCATAACTCTAGGATGTTTATGGATGGTGTAAGTGTGTTAAGTATGAGTGCCATAACTCTAGGATGTTTATGGATGGTGTAAGTGTGTTAAGTATGAGTGTCATAACTCTAGGATGTTTATGGATGGTGTAAGTGTGTTAAGTATGAGTGCCATAACTCTAGGATGTTTATGGATGGTGTAAGTGTGTTAAGTATGAGTATGATAACTCTAGGATGTTTATGGATGGTGTAAGTGTGTTAAGTATGAGTATGATAACTAGGATGTTTATGGATGGTGTAAGTGTGTTAAGTATGAGTGTCATAACTCTAGGATGTTTATGGATGGTGTAAGTGTGTTAAGTATGAGTGCCATAACTCTAGGATGTTTATGGAAAGGTGTAAGTGTGTTAAGTATGAGTGTCATAACTCTAGGATGTTTATGGATGGTGTAAGTGTGTTAAGTATGAGTATGATAACTAGGATGTTTATGGATGGTGTAAGTGTGTTAAGTATGAGTATGATAACTAGGATGTTTATGGATGGTGTAAGTGTGTTAAGTATGAGTGTCATAACTATAGGATGTTTATGGATGGTGTAAGTGTGTTAAGTATGAGTATGATAACTCTAGGATGTTTATGGATGGTGTAAGTGTGTTAAGTATGAGTGTCATAGCTCTAGGATGTTTATGGATGGTGTAAGTGTGTTAAGTATGAGTGCCATAACTCTAGGATGTTTATGGATGGTGTAAGTGTGTTAAGTATGAGTGTCATAACTCTAGGATGTTTATGGATGGTGTAAGTGTGTTAAGTATGAGTATGATAACTAGGATGTTTATGGATGGTGTAAGTGTGTTAAGTATGAGTGTCATAACTCTAGGATGTTTATGGATGGTGTAAGTGTGTTAAGTATGAGTATGATAAACTCTAGGATGTTTATGGATGGTCTAAGTGTGTTAAGTAGATGTCATAACTCTAGGATGTTTATGGATGGTGTAAGTGTGTTAAGTATGAGTGCATAACTCTAGGATGTTTATGGATGGTGTAAGTGTGTTAAGTATGAGTGCCATAACTCTAGGATGTTTATGGATGGTGTAAGTTTGTTAAGTATGAGTTTTCATAACTCTAGGGTGTTTATGGATGGTGTTAAGTGTGTTAAGTATGAGTATGATAACCTAGGATGTTTATGGATGGTGTAAGTGTGTTAAGTATGAGTGTCATAACTCTAGGATGTTTATGGATGGTGTAAGTGTGTTAAGTATGAGTGTCATAACTCTAGGGTGTTTTTGGATGGTGTAAGTGTGTTAAGTATGAGTGCCATAACTCTAGGATGTTTATGGATGGTGTAAGTGTGTTAAGTAATGAGTGTCATAACTCTAGGATGTTTATGGATGTGTAAGTGTGTTAAGTATGAGTGTCATAGCTCTAGGATGTTTATGGATGGTGTAAGTGTGTTAAGTATGAAATGTCATAACTCTAGGATGTTTATGGATGGTCTAAGTGTGTTAAGTATGAGTGTCATAACTCTAGGATGTTTATGGATGGTGTAAGTGTGTTAAGTATGAGTGTCATAACTCTAGGATGTTTATGGATGGTCTAAGTGTGTTAAGTATAAGTGTCATAACTCTAGGATGTTTATGGATGGTCTAAGTGTGTTAAGTATGAGTGTCATAACTCTAGATGTTTTGGATGTCTAAGTGTGTTAAGTATGAGTGTCATAACTCTAGGATGTTTATGGATGGTGTAAGTGTGTTAAGTATAGGTGTCATCACCCTTGGTTTAGGATGCTTGTAGATGGTTGTGGGTCATTTCATCAGTAATATTAGGTTGTGAGTCATCTCTTCTTCTCAGCTGATGACGTCATACGTTTTACTTTACAGTTTTCTTATTTACATTAGTAACAAGGAACAATTTTGTCCTTAAATTCCTTGTTCTCTTGTTTGTTGATAAAGAAATGTTTGGATATTGTTGTGTGACTACTGAGTGGTTCTGTCAGCTGGTAACTGTGGGTCAGTCATCTGTTGAGGTTAAGAGAGCCACTACAGCATATGCTGTCTTGAGCCAGACATAAAAATTTGTTAACAAATATTTTCATGTTTTGAACCACCTTTGTATAATGCATAAAGTTGAACCACCTTTTATGATATATAAACATGAACCACTTTTTATGATGCATAAACTTGGGCAATATTATGTGCTAACAATTTTTGAAACAAATATGAACAGTGTTTTATTTATTGTACATGTAAATTTTGTGTTTTAATATTGTATTTAGATTTTTTACTTATTTTCAGCAGTTACAGATTCTATTTTTAACTTTATATGTAGAGATTATGTATTAGGTATTTCACATTTGATTGCAACTTTATGTATTAGTTGTGATGACTGAACATTGTAGAGGTGAGTGTCATAATCAAGCAGTTTGCATTAGAATTGTGTGTACCACAACTCAAACCTCTCTTCTTGGTTTATTTTTAAGTGGAAATGTTTTCATGTGGGTCTTACTATTTTCTCAGACATAAATTAACAGCAACAACAAGAGCAGCAGCAGTAGGATTTTCTATGTTATAAGGTTGCAAAACAAACTTGTGTTTCCTAATTTAAGTTAGTCACTAGTTATTAGATGTGCCAGTTGAGAGGGATAACTTCTTATTGCATCTTCCCACTCGCATGCTCACCAGGCTATCCTACCCTGATACGACCTGCCATGACCTTGCCAAAGAACCTCACTAACAAGAGCCTGTCGAACAAGGCCAACGAGCCAGTTTTAGGTGACTAGTCCAATAACTCTGATGCCAGCTAGGCTCGGATAATGCTTGTTTTGAAACGCATGTTTCTTAGTTTGACACGGTAGTGTTTATGGTCTTGAAGTGTAGGACACCAGTGTTGTGTAACACCACTGTAGTGTATTGTAATGCCAGTGTTATGTGATATAATAATATTAGTATGTGAATGTGTAGGCTCCTCTTCATCTTTAATATGACTATGTAATAGTGTTGAGTGTATGCTGTAATCTTTCTCTAATACTTGCTAGAGTGCTCTATCAAGAGAAGTGGTTTTGAATAGTTCTTTTGTGGAGGGTAAGATTTTCTCTTCCCATAACCCAGTTCTTGACTCGGGTATTGTTAGTGTAAGCTGCATAAGTTAATACATCTGCACTTACAAGCATCCACACTTACAGACGTCCACATTTACTAACATCCACAGTTTTTTTTTTTTTTTTTTTATTCGCCGGTATTCTCCCGGCCCGGGTCTTTTTCAAGTAGTGGTGACCCGGCCTTGGCTCCCTATCTGGGGAGTTTTAAATAGAACACCTAGAAAGCAGTTAATATTTTACAAATGAGAGTTACAGTAGGAATATGCATGCAACATTACAACTTGTGCACAGGTGTTGTTTGTAAGTGTGTTACTTGAGACTTGTGGAAGTTAGAGACCTCATATACACAGGACAAGACTGGTAATCGTGTACACTGAACAAGACTGGTAATCTTGTACACCAAACAAGACTGGTAATCTTTTACACTGAACAAGACTGGTAATCTTGTGCACTGAACAAGACTGGCAATCTTGTACACTGAGCAAGACTGGTAATCTTGTACACTGAACAAGACTGGTAATCTTGTACACTGAACAAGACTGGTAATCTTGTACACTGAACAAGACTGGTAATCTTGTACACTGAACAAGACTGGTAATCTTGTACACTGAACAAGACTGGTAATCTTGTACACTGAACAAGACTGGTAATCTTGTACACTGAACAAGACTGGTAATCTTGTACACTGAACAAGACTTCATGTAACTTCATGTGTGTGTTTCAGTAAGTCTTTCATACACTACATGTTTCAGTAAGTGCTTCATACACTACATGTTTCAGTAAGTGCTTCATACACTACATGTTTCATTAAGTGCTTCATACACTACATGTTTCATTAAGTGCTTCATACACTACATGTTTCAGTAAGTGCTTCATACACTACATGTTTCATTAAGTGCTTCATACACTACATGTTTCAGTAAGTGCTTCATACACTACATGTTTCATTAAGTGCTTCATACACTACATGTTTCATTAAGTGCTTCATACACTACATGTTTCAGTAAGTGCTTCATACACTACATGTTTCAGTAAGTGCTTCATATACTACATGTTTCATTAAGTGCTTCATACACTACATGTTTCAGTAAGTGCTTCATACACTACATGTTTCATTAAGTGCTTCATACACTACATGTTTCAGTAAGTGCTTCATACACTACATGTTTCATTAAGTGCTTCATACACTACATGTTTCATTAAGTGCTTCATACACTACATGTTTCAGTAAGTGCTTCATACACTACATGTTTCATTAAGTGCTTCATACACTACATGTTTCAGTAAGTGCTTCATACACTACATGTTTCATTAAGTGCTTCATACACTACATGTTTCATTAAGTGCTTCATACACTACATGTTTCAGTAAGTGCTTCATACACTACATGTTTCATTAAGTGCTTCATACACTACATGTTTCATTAAGTGCTTCATACACTACATGTTTCATTAAGTGCTTCATACACTACATGTTTCATTAAGTGCTTCATACACTACATGTTTCATTAAGTGCTTCATACACTACATGTTTCATTAAGTGCTTCATACACTTCATGTTTCAGTAATCACTGTGTAAGTTAACTAGTTGTAAAATAATATTAAGAGTGATACTGGATAAGATGATCATCTTATAAAGAAGATGTACTAATATCTTGGGAAGATTGTTTAATCTCTGCCTTCTTTAACACTTTAATTACTTTGCAAACTAAAACAAAAACTTTTTGATTGATAAGTTTGATTACTTTTGCTATACTTTTAGTGCATTTATTTTCTTATTTTGTAGTAGTTTTTAGTATAACAAGTATGTAGAATATTATATACAGCAAGTGTTGCATGATGCAGTGTTCATTTGTCAACACTAGGCCATTGTGCACCAGCCAGGTGCACCAAGCCAGGTGCACCAAGCCAGGTGCACCAAGCCAGGTGCACCAAGCCAGGTGCACCAAGCCAGGTGCACCAAGCCAGGTGCACCAAGCCAGGTACAACAAGTCAGGTGCTTCAAGTCAAGTGCACCAAGCCAGGCTACAGTATGAAGAAGAAGCTCTTCGCTTAAGATGGAAAATTGTCACTTGTGTGATCAGATGTGCATGTTGAATTAAACTGTCATGACTGTGGTTGCAACACTTGTCAATGGGACACAAGTTGCAGAAGAAACTGTAGGCAGCATTTTGCTTGTTTCTGGACTGTTTTGTACTTGACCAGTTGTACTGGTCCAGCATGGACCAGCACAACTCAAGTTTCCTCTTATAAACTTGTGAGTTAGTTGTGGAATGTGCATGTTTATTTTGTTGTGTGATTTACATTTTTGTTATTGAATAATTGAACCCTGAGTCTGATTGTATCTGTGAAGTGTTTGTGTAAGTCAGAGTGGAGACCCATGGTTTCCCGGTCTACTGTGAGGTATATGTGTAAGCTACAGTGCAGACCTATGGTCTCCTGGTCTACTGTGAGGTGTATGTGTAAGCTACAGTGCAGACCTATGGTCTCCTGGTCTACTGTGAGGTGTATGTGTAAGCTGCAGTGCAGACCTATGGTCTCCTGGTCTACTGTGAGGTGTATGTGTAAGCTGCAGTGCAGACCTATGGTCTCCTGGTCTACTGTGAGGTGTATGTGTACGCTGCAGTGCAGACCTATGGTCTCCTGGTCTACTGTGAGGTGTATGTGTAAGCTACAGTGCAGACCTATGGTCTCCTGGTCTACTGTGAGGTGTATGTGTAAGCTACAGTGCAGACCTATGGTCTCCTGGTCTACTGTGAGGTGTATGTGTAAGCTACAGTGCAGACCTATGGTCTCCTGGTCTACTGTGAGGTGTATGTGTAAGCTGCAGTGCAGACCTATGGTCTCCTGGTCTACTGTGAGGTGTATGTGTAAGCTGCAGTGCAGACCTATGGTCTCCTGGTCTACTGTGAGGTGTATGTGTACGCTGCAGTGCAGACCTATGGTCTCCTGGTCTACTGTGAGGTGTATGTGTAAGCTACAGTGCAGACCTATGGTCTCCTGGTCTACTGTGAGGTGTATGTGTAAGCTACAGTGCAGACCTATGGTCTCCTGGTCTACTGTGAGGTGTATGTGTAAGCTACAGTGCAGACCTATGGTCTCCTGGTCTACTGTGAGGTGTATGTGTAAGCTGCAGTGCAGACCTATGGTCTCCTGGTCTACTGTGAGGTGTATGTGTAAGCTACAGTGCAGACCTATGGTCTCCTGGTCTACTGTGAGGTGTATGTGTAAGCTAGAGTGGAGTTCCACGGTTCATGTGTTGACTGCTGAGAGGAGCTGTGTAAAAGTGAAGCCAAGTCTGAGACTCTATACTGCACTGGTCTCCCCGCTTAACATTTAAAAACAATACTAGAACACAGCAGTAGGCTGTGTTCTAGTATTGTTTTTAAATGTTAAGTGTAAGACCATGACAGGTTTGTGTAAGACCATGACAGGTTTGTGTAAGACCTTGACAGAGGTGTGTATAGGTCATACAGTTAATACTTGTCACACAGTTAACGCTTGTCATGCAGTTAACACTTGTCTCAACACTTGTCACATGGTTAACACTTGTTACACATTAATGCTTTTCACACAGTTAACACTTGCCACACAGTTAACCCTTAAACTGTCCAAACAGATCTATGTTCACATTCGTAGTGCTCCAAAAGTAGATCTATGTTTTTTTACATATTTTCAAATATAACAAAAAAAATGTAGATCAAAGTTTTTTTTTACACATTTTCAAATGTAAAAAGAAAAAAGAAGGTCTACGTTTTTTTACATACTTTCAAATGTTGAAAAAACGTAGATCTACATTTGGACAGTTTAACCCTTTCAGGGTCCGTCCCGTAGATCTACGGCTTTACGTTCAGGGTCCAAACCGTAGATCTACGCCATGAGCTCAGCTCACTCTGATAAACTGTGAGTGGTACATTTGGGCCTAGATATGAGAGAATACATCTATGTGGTATGTGTGCACCACATAAAACAGATCCTGCAGCACACTGTGTATAATGAGAGAAAAAAAATGAAATCATGATTTTTCGATTAAAACAGCAACTTTGCAGTGTTTTTTCGTATGTTTTTTATAGTTGTATTTGCGATTTCTTGGTCTCATTTGATAGAATGGAAGACATATTACAGAAATAGAGATGATTTTGATTGGTTTTATCACTGGAAATGGCTTGAAACTGAGCTCAAAGTAGCAGAAATGTTAAATTTTTGCCGATATTCAAGAGTAAACAAACGACCTCACACATCTAATACACGTCAGCTGGTGGGTCTAATATACATTCACAAATATGGTGATGATATTTATACAATTATTACAGTATTGCATAACAGTAAATCTACTATTTTTTGGTGTGAATAAAAATTCATTATGTGATAAAAAATCAAAATGGAATTTATTTGTAAAGCCTCAAAACATAACTAATGAACAGAGGAAATGTTAGTTTAGTGCCAGGAATGCCTACATTGTTCATTCTGGAGCCTATTTTGAAATTGGAATATTTTGAACTTTGTGTTAAATTGGGCCAAATTAACATTTCCGATCACTTTATTTTGTAGTTGAAAACAGTTGACTTGGCGATTCTTGTGCTCAATCGATAGAATAGAAGTAATACTAGTGAAATAGCTAAGAATTTGGTTGATTGGAATAATGTAATTGGCCTAAAATGGGAGTCAAAGTCGG